TAGGAAAGACGCAACTTAAATTTTACCAGTATTTCCGGTGTACTTCTCAGTCATAACGACATCAACTTTGTCAACCCGTGCCACTGATAATTTTTTTTTAACATTTTCCAATATATCAGCAAAGTGGAACACCTTTTGTGATGTTTGGAGAGGTTTGTTTTCTTTTGAATTCAGCAAACTCCTCAATTATCAGTCCTGCAAGTTGATTCTTAGTAAGTATTGGGTTTTCTACTTAGATAACATTTTTACAATGGTAACAGTTTTTCTTCTTCCTACATACATTTTATGCCCTTTTTTAATATCTAATTTTCTATTCTAAGAACTCCATTTCCAGCTACAGTAGAAATGATGATACATAGCCTTTTCTTCTGAACTTACAGAATTTGCAGCAGCTCTCCAGGTTACTGTGTTTAAAGCTACACTGCCCTGAGTCCCTGGGACTAGCACACTGCAGGCTGCTTACACACGTACTTCGAGGGCATTAGCCACTGGCCTGCCACTGCCCTTGCCTGCCAAGCCCTCCTTTGCTTCCTAGACTAAGGCCCTGGTAGTTTTGGAAAATGAATTGAAGTAATTACTTTCTTATTTCTATTTTCTGAGGGAATTCATTCTTTAAGTACGAGCGAAGTAAATTAAGCTTGTTTTTCTTGGTTTTGTTTGTTTACTTTTGACTTTGGGGTGCTACATTCTTAACTAGCTTAATCTGCAGAACAATAATAACTCTGTTCATTAGCTATGTTGTTTTGAGGCAGTAGCTAAAAGTTACATGGATATTGTTCATTTCTCATGTCTTTTCTCATCTTTATTCTTCCTAATTTCATTTCTACTTATCTGTGCCTCCTTTTATAATTTTCTTTCTTTTTTGGGGGGGGCTTCTTATGTTATTCTTTTCTAAAGTATGAGTCAGATACCTTGCATATGGACTTTCTTTCTTTTTGAGGCAGGGTCTTTGCACATAGATCAGGCTGCCATGAACTTGCTGTGCAGCCTAGGCTGGCCTTCGGCTCTCCGTTGCCCCTCCACCTCCGCCTGCGGAGTGCTGAGGTTTCGGATGTACATCACTGTTTCAGGTTGCTCGTTGATCTTTGAGACTGTTTTCTGATATGCCTTTAAAGCTATGACTTTATCTATGAACTGCTCTACTTTCACCCACAGATTTTCATATGAATTTTTTTCTGTCAGTGGATAGTGGGAAATGTGTTACTTCCTGAGTTTGTTTCCTGAAGTGCCATTATGCAGACTTAGCGCAGTACGTTTCAGAGCCCTCGGGAAGTGAGGTCCTTTTCTGTTGTTGATGCCCTGTGCTTGGTGGTGGGAGGAAAACACCTGTGCAGTTCCTCCTCCCCTGCGTTCAGATTCGCTGTGCTCTGTGGCGCACAGAATGGCCATTTTACCCATCACCCATCAGTGCTTGAGAAAGAAGTCTCCTCACTGAGAATCCGTGGTGGCCTTTCATACAGGTCCGATGGGTCAGATCATTTGTACCCCTAATAATACTCTGGGCCCCCGTGCAGCAGTGTGCGAGAGTCCCCAGCACTGTGCGTGCTGAGCCTGGGAAGACATGCTTTCAGCGAGCGGAAGGTTTTCTGAGCAGCTGCACAGCAGAACATTTCCCGCAGCTCATTTTCTTCACTTCTTTCCTCCTCGTGCTTCGTGTTTCTGCTTTGCTCTAAGGTCCTGAGAGTGTTATTTCATGGTGCCATCCCTGGGGTCTTGTAAACCACAGTCTAGAACAACTGTTTCTTTTTTCCCACCAGAGGTCATGTATTAATTTCTGGCGGGGTCGAAGGCCCTCTGCTTCAGTCATGAGCTGGAAGGGTTGCAGGAGTATGCAGCCCTGAGGGCTTGTTGTACCTGATGCCTTTAAAGTGGGCGGGTGCCATGGTGTCCTGAAGCTGGCTACCCTGACCCCCAGGGCCTGGTGGAGGGCATCTCTCCCTGTCTGCTGCTTTCCTGATTGTCATCCAGGTAACACGAAATCAGGTGCACTGGAAATGTGTGCATGACAGGCAGACACTACAAATCAGAGTTCACTGGCACCCCGTGGAAGTGCGTGTTAAGAATGTACCGGGCAAAGGGTAAGGCTGACGGTTGTCACAAGTTGTGTGCAAGTTTCCCTGGGTCACCACTTAGCACTGTTGCCCTAAAAGAGAAAAAACAGCTCCTGATCACACCCTACAGTAAGGCGGTGTTAAGTGTTGTTACACTTATAAACCCCAAGCATCAGAGGTGAAGCTAAGAGAAGTGAATTAAAGACCCACTGTGGCCAGGAATGTGGCAGAGAGCCCCACCAGGGCTCTGTGTGGCTGTGGCTCCCAGATGGCTTTGCAGGCCCCAGGCTCTGAGGCAGTCACCTGGGACACATGCTGCTTCCTGTGAGCCAGGCCTGGGACTCTGAAAGTGACATCTGTATATCGCCCAAGGAGAAGAACCTGCTTTCTGGAGCACAAGTCACTCTGCCCCAGTGACAAACACACTTGCATGTCACTGACTTGTGCACTGGGCAAGAGCATGATGCTGAGTAGGCCATGTGTGGGAAGCAGCTGGCATCAGGTGAGCCGCGCCAGCTGGCTCCTGCAGGTCTGTTGTGTGACAAAGGAAATCACAGCTTGCACTAGGACCTGGGTCCTGGACTCATGCCTGTGACCTTGTGCAGCTCAGCCTCAAGTCCCCTTCTGTATCACACAAGGTATTCGTTCTGGTATTTCTAGTGGTATTTCTCGTTCTGGTATTTCTAGCCAAATAGAGGGCTCCCGACTTCTGGCACCCCAAGTGCAAATTTCCATGTGTTCCCTCTATGCTGATAAGCTCCCCACTCAGCCCAGACCTAAGGACCTGAAACTAAGCAAAGGACAGATCATAATACCCAGTGAAGTTTTAAATCATAAAAAACAATTTCTAGATACATTTTTGTATTATAAAACAACCCATAGGCTCTTTAGAGTCAACGGGTCAAGATTATATCTAAAATCAGTATTTTATACACGCACGAACTGGAAGTTTCACTCTGGCAGCCTTTGATTCTTCTAAATTATAAGAGAAAATAAAGAGATTAATTTGAGCACGAGCCCCGCCACTCCTTTCTGGCAGTGTGTGAGGGTGACCCAGTGACTCCTGAGCTATCACGGCAGAGTCCTTAGAAGTTAATTGACAGTTTCACCATGAGACCCTTCTGAGGCACCGTGTGTGGAGGTCCGCTGTGTGTATTACATTATCCGCACTGTCTCGCATGCTAATCAGCACAGGATGCTTAGGAATGCTGCTTTGTTCAGCTTTCTGGCAGTTCTGAGGGTCTCCAGGTACCTGGTGACAAGCAAGGGCAGTCCTGGAAGTCAAAACGTGGTGAGCATCAAAGTGGATAAATCAAAACATGGGAGGGTTTTCTAGACAGACCTGAAAGTAGAAGCCAGCTCTTGCCCGGTGTTAATTTCAGACGGGATGTTTGTGGTGGGGACCCTGCCTTGGGTCAGACTAACAAATCTGCGGCTCCCTTCAGAACCACTGATGTCTATCTGGGTTGAGGTCTTTGGGAAGTAAATACTGCCTGTGTGGCAAGCTGGCATTTCCAACACCACTTTTACAAACTTACAGGGAGGCTCATGAAAACATGATGTAGACTATTTAGCTGTTTTCAAATGCAAATAAAGCAACAAAAATAGAATTCTCAATATGGATTTCTCTCTCTTCTTTCTTTCCTTGTATGTAGGAGCAACTGAATAATAGTAAACACCTAGCTTTAGATCACCATTGGGATTTATCCTGTTTAGTCTTAATCCTGTATGGAGAACTTTTAGCTCTGCTGTGAAATCATCTTCAACAACTCATAGCCTTTCTCAGCTAAATGTCTCTACTTCAAAACAGAGGGGTCTCTGGGTGCACCTGTGTTTTGGGAAATAAAAATGTGAAAAGTCTCAAAAGAAGCAGATATGGAAACAGCATTGCTATGATCAGGCAGTTTTCTCAAAGGTTGCATATGGTCAGCCACATTTTCTGCGTGTAGGGTTGTTTTTAAACTTGCTTTAGATTTATGAAAAATATCTTCAAGACAATATACAAGCAAGTCGGCAAATCTTTATTTATTTTTTGTTTTTGTTCTGTTTTGTTTTTGAGATAGGTCTCTCTGGGTAGTTCAAGCTGGCCTGGACTCACTATGTAGCGCAGGCTGGCCTGGAACTCATAGTGATCCTCCTGCCTCAACCTCCTGAATGCTAAAGCTATCGGTATGTGCCAATGCATCTAGCTCTAAATCTCTGTGAGCCAGGTTCTAGGATCACAGTGCTTTTCAATGTCTGCCAATGTTAAATTTTTAGCCTAGTGTACAATTTTATTGCAGGCATTTTGGGTGGTGACATAGGAAATAACAGCTTGAAATAAGGTGAATGTTTTTCAATCCAGAGTGCAGAATTCAGTTTATTAATTGTTATATTTGTGAAACAAAGAGCAGGACAACCACAGTCATAGTCATGATTTTGAGACGCTAAAATAAAATCTCTATTCCCTCTCTCAGTCTTGACACTGACCAGAGTTAGGCCCCTTAGGAAGTCACTGGAAAGGACTCGGCAGTAGATACGTGGACAGGACCAGTATATCCTGCCGACAGTGGATGTGTTCGCCCCCACTAAACGGGCAGAATCTGCGTCCTGTGCAGTTTCATTAGCATGTTCGGAAAGATGAGGCGGGACTTTTCACTGAAAATTAACACGTCAGACTCAGCATTAATCAGCTTGGGTGAACAGGTAGAGCTTAGGCGCAGTTTATATAAACAGCAGACTGGGTTTGTGGCAGCTGTGCTGTGCAGACCCATCTCTCTCTAACTCTCTTGCTTGTTTTGTTACTGAGGAATCTCCAGCCAGACATCAGCTTTCTGTCGCCCCGAGCGGTACAGAGGGCTTTGAATTTGTTCCCAGCACAGAAACTGTTGGAGCTAGTACTGTGCAAAGGTGGGGTGCGGGAACTGCGTGTGCACCCATGGGTGCAGTGATTCCCTTCTGTTCTTTCAGGTTGCTTTCAGCTATGCAACGCGTTCCGATCCCATGAGATGGAAATTGACCAGTGCTTGCTGGAGTCGCTTCCTCTGGGCCAGCGGCAGCGGCTGGTGAGGCGCATGCGCTGCGAGCAAATCAAAGCCTACTACGACCGCGAGAGGGCGCTGCAGAAGCAGGAGGGCTTCCTGAAGAGGCTGAGACATGGCAAGAGCCGGAAGGTGCGGTTCAGTCTGGCGGAGGTGATGCAGGACGCCATTGTGCGCCACGACGACAAGGAAGGTGCGTGCCAGGGCAGGTGGCGTCCAATGCTGTCTGTGTTGTGGGGAGTTGGGAAATTGAAATGAGGCTGCTGGCTTTTAACGGTCTGAACTCTTCAAGAAAAAAGAAAAAATACTTTTCCCAAAGAATATCATTAAATATCTAGTGGACAGCAAAAAATGTGCAGTTTGCTGAAATTGTTATATTTTGCTTTATAAGGCTTACCTGTCTGTAAAGCAAGTGATTTTCTCTCAAATTATTCATTCAAGTTGCTAATGAAACTTCTTAGCCACGAAATTGTTTCTTTTGGAGTTGATCCTGGCTGTAATAGTCATTAGTTGTTAGCTCACACTTGGACACCCATAGTGCTGAAGTCAGTTCCTTCAGAATTCTCATGACCTAAGAGTCAATTCATCAAAAACAAAAGAGTTGCTTCTACCAGTCTTTGTCTAGTAGCTCAGGCGTTCCCAGTCTTACGTTAGAGCTGCGACCTGCTTTGAGTTGGCTTGTGTGTGGTGTGAAGGAGTCTGTGCTCTGCACTCCATGCCTGGCTTTCTCAGCACCACGTACTTCAGAGGTGGGCCTTTCCCCAGCTCTTGGGAGGGTGCTGTTACCAAGACCACTTGGCTGTGGATGTGTGGGTCATCTTGGGATCTCTATTCTGTTCTTTTGGTCCGTGTCCCTTTTTTTGGCTAGTGCCATGATGCGCCATACAGTATGCTCTGTAGTATACTGTGGAGTCCGGTATTGCAATAGTTCCAGCTTTGTTTTATGGGGAAATTTTTGTGTAACCCCTACATTTGCCTGGCCTATTGGATTTTTCTCAAAATGTAAAATGCAAATCTCAGTTATGTTCCAGAGACTATATTTCTATCTTTTATAGATTCTTGTGTATGAATTTTTCTGTCCTTGTTCTTAGTAGAGTCTACTTTCCCAAGGGCCTTTGTGAGCAAATTGTTTCAGCTCTGGGTATGGTATAAATGAAGAAGGCTTTGAAGAAAATAATATAAATTAACATGTCATGATTGACTCTAAAACCAGTAGTTCAATTAATCTGAAATAGACATTCTTCACAAGACATTAACCACAACTTACACTCCAAAAGGCTCAGAAATAGATTTTTATTTCTGTGGCTCATTTAGTGTTAGAACTTTCTCTCATCTATTTACACTTTTCACCTGGAAAAATCATTAAGAAAATCATAAAGTTAGTAAGACATGTGTTTCCAGGGTTTTAGCATAAGGCTGTGACACTATGTCTATAAAAACTGATAATGCATTCTGTACTATAATGGTTATGGAAGTTATTTGCATTTTTGAAAAAATTTTAGAAGTTTTTATTGACACATTTGCGTACATAGTGATTATATTCATGGTGGTTAGTTGCTACATGTACATAACACTTTACAATTCTCTTTATATCTCCTTCTCCTCCTTTCCTTCCTTCTTTCTCTTCATCCTCTTCCCATTTGCAGAAGATCTGTTTTAATTTTTCCTATTATCTATGTCTTAGTTTGCTTTTTAATATGTTTATATGTTGGGTTTCTTATGTAAGAAAACTCACGTGGTGTTTAAGCTGTATGTCTCATTCACTTCACTGAATGTGTTCGTCTCAAGGGGCATCTGTTTTCCTACACGTGATGCCTTTGTTTTGTGTGACCTGTAGTGAAGCTGGGTCCTTCCTGAGGGCTCTGACCTGTCTACAGGGCTGACTGGGTCTAACTGATTCCAGAAGGTCTGACGAGTACCAAGAAGGATGTGTGCCGTACAAAATTACTCTAGCTGGAAAGGGCAGTGAGCCATCAACAACGGCTAGCTCACATGGACCCAGTGGTCCACTTGGAAGGAGAGGAGAAGGGAGCAGAAGGAGATTATGGCAAGTGCTTAAGGGCTTAGGAAACAGTGTTCATTTGGGAAGGAAAAAACAAATGACTTTGGAGGAGGAAAGGAAGGTTGATGGAGAAATGAGCACTTGGGTTTGCAGAGCATGTTGAGTGACACCTGGCATCCAGGTGACCGGTTTACCCTCAGTTAGGGAATCCAACCTGCTTATTCCCAACCCCTGCCACTCACTGGGATCCTCAGGGTAGATTTTATTTTTATTCCAGCGTGCAAGTTCTAACTGACGAGATGCCTGTTTCTTCCATCTGATGCAGGGCCAGGGCAGCTGAGATGCCAAGAGATCATGTAGAGAGTGCCAAGGATCCCTAGTCCATGGATGGAGGTGGATCACTGTTGGGGGTCCTCCTCCTGGTGCAGGAGCTTCCAGGGGGCAGGAGGTGGGTGTATCAGTCATGGTTTTACTAGAGAAATGTATACACGAGATACACAAATGTATACAGAATTACAGCATTTGCTTATAGTAGTCATCAACAGAGCTGGATGAAGAGGAAGTCTGCACACTGGAGACTAAGGGGACTCATCCAAGGTCTGGAGCTCACTGTAGGACCCTTGAGAGTTGGTGTCAGGAGTCTGATGGGCTGTGACAGAAGACTAAAGAGTCTACACTGGAAGGCTGAAAAATCCCTGGCGGAAACCAGTCTGTGCTAGAAGCCAGGAGACGATGTCCAGGCTGAACGTGAAAACTGAAGCTCCTCTGAGGAACCGAAGGAGACCTAACCTTCCTCATTTCTCCTTTACACCATCAGGGCAACGAGCCACTCTAGGGTGGGTCCTCTACACTCTAGGATGTGGAATTGCTGAGGCAATTTAGGAAAGCTTTGAAACTTCTCAAATTTACACAGTGGGGAAGAGGAAGGGCAGGGGGAAGAGGAGCACATGTCAGGAGGCAGGGCAGCCTGGAACAGAAAGATGATGAAACCAGACTTACAGACTTACAGGACAGATTAGATACAAAAAGGAAATCTGAAAAGAAGGCTCAGGTATGACCCAGAAGTTCCACAAAAGGTTAAGCATTGTCTTGCTAGACTTTTCCATATAATTGTTTGATTTTGTGTCATAAGATTTTCCTCATGTTTTGTAGAATACAATTTATCTTCAATTTGCTTTCACTGAAATTGATCCATCGTGCTTCATTTGGAGAAGTATGCAAGTTCGTCAAGAGACGCCCAGAATATCTTGCCAAACTGAAACCTTCTATTGCTGCCCAGGCTGGCAGAGGGCTCCTTAACTGGTACTCTCCTAAGCAGAACATGAGTGGTGCATGGTGGGTGGCAGGATGTTCACGTGTAATCAATGGTGTAAATACCCTGAACTGTGAGCAGACAGATTTGATTTTTCAATTCAAAGGAAGCAAAGAATAAGTTTTAATGAATCTGATTAGGTTTTAATGGAAGGAATTGCTTTTTACATATGAGTGTGTTGAGTGGCAATGACACAGAGAGCTGGAGAATAGAGTCCCATGTTTTTCTTGGTGTAGTGATCAGTGTCATGTAGGCCAAGGGACAGAGGGAGCAGAAAGGACAGACTCCTGTGCACCTGGAGTTCTTTACATGTTTGCCCTGCACGGGGAACTGCAGGAAACCCTCCCATACACCCTCTGATTTATTCCTTGTGATAGAAAACACCACAAAAAAATTCCCACAAAGAGGCAGGGGGAAAATGTACTCAGAAAGGGATCTTGTGAAATTTCTCACTCCCATGAGTGCTGAAAAAGTTTCTGTTGGAAGCAAAGATCATAGACACTGACCAAGTTCCCCTTAACATCAAATAATCAAGAAGCAGTTGAGCGACTCCACAGAGAATTTGAATTTCTAGTGACCATGGTACTTTTACATGCATTATTACAGGGTGAAAAGTAAAATCAGTGGCTGTGGAGGGTGTTTCAGTCCACAGGGCTGCTGGATAAAGATACAGACTAGTGGCTGACAAGTGCAAGACCGGGGTGCTTGGCGTATACATGGCCCAATCTTGCTGGGGCTTCATGAAGACAGAAGGAAGCTCCAGAGCCTTCTCTCTTCTTGAAGGCTTCTACTTCCATAAGGGAATCAGTACCTCATTTTTAAAACCTGTCATCATCCAAAGCCCAGCTCTACTACCACTGCATGGGAGTTAAAACTCCAGTATATGAAATTGGGGGAGAAACAAATTCTTAATCCCTTCAAGTGTATTTATTCAACCCATAGATCTAACCAAAGTATAAAATAATAGAGCTGTATCTACTATGTATGTGTCTACGTCTGTCTACTAGCTGTCTGTCTGTCTGTCTAGCAGTAACTTCCTTTGAATTGTTCATCTGTTTTGGAAACACTCCCATCACTACTAAGTTTCTTCACTAAGGGAAGAAAATATTATAGGGAAAATGAGACTTTCTTGCAATTTAAGACATTGTTTTGGAAAGCCAAGCAATTTCTGTAAAGGCATTGTGGTTTCCCTACCATGTGTGTTGCTTCTTCCAGAAATGTATTCAGGACAAGTTTTCATTTAGTCATAGCAGTGATATTTTTACTTAGCATTACACTACTCAAGTGGTCCAGTGTACATGTTCATGCAATTAAGGTAAAAAAGCACTGTCACAAAAAGGAAAAAAAAAAAGCCTTTCCACTTAAATGATTGTTTAAATCTCACAGATTATGTATTTGTGTAAATAAACTTTCTCATCTCTTATTTAAAAGCACTTTTATTTTCTGAGTATAAAGAATCAAATGTACTCTTTCAAGGCATAGTATCTGTGGTGTTATTTATGCTAAGATTTGTAGCATATCATTTAAAAGGACTCCAGAAGTTTTAAAATCTACAAATATAGCATGTTTGTAATTGTGAATTTAGTACCCCTGATGCTTTGTTATCTCCTAGGAGCTGGTGGTATTTTAGTTGCAGTTAATCACTTTGATGTGCTGTATCAGTCTAGAATGTGTTAAACAGCTCCTCCCCTCTACCAGGAAAATTTCTAAATATCCTTTCAGGGTTGTTCCTTCATCTGTGAGTGACACCACTCAAAAGAAAAAGAGATGGAGGACCAGGCAGCGAGTGGGAGAGTTAAAGAGACAGATAAACTTGCAGATGTAAATTCTGCTACTGAACTTGCTGTTCCCAAACACCCATCAATCCTGCCAGCTCAGA